CCACAACTTTTGCATTTCTCAGCAGACCTAAACACTGCACTAACACCTCTTGTACTGAACTCATGATGAACATTGAATTTGCCTCATCAAGTAACTTCATCCTATACAAATAAAATGATACTAAGGATTTTTCCAACTGTATTTTTTTAGCTCTGTTGTCAGCTGGCAATTTGTTGTTGTATTAAATGGCTGTTGGTTCATGTACGTCATTATCTTAGAGCACCCAAGCTGTGTGACAGGAAATGACGTGCACACTTGTGTGCATTGTTTAGAGCCTTCATCCTGCAAACCCTTGTGCACGTACGTGCATTTATTCATTTATTTGTGCAGGAATCAAGTCTATCTATCAAAGTCTGTACACTTGGAAAAAATGTGGAGGCTTATTTTCTTATCTTATGAATTTCCCTGCTGACACCCTTAAAAACATTCTCTATTTCTCCTTTATGGTAAATTATACAAATTTAATGCCAAAGATACCACTTTACTTATGCCAAGAAACTAACCTGTATTGTGTCACTTCTTTATCGCAGGGCTGGGAAAGGGGGAATATACATCTAAAATGATACCTGCACCTTGTAGAGTCAACAGCATTTAGAGCTTATTTGAAGCTTCATAGCCAAACTGCTTGAGATTGCAATGACTTCATCTCTAATAACATTTTGACATGCATTCCCATGAGGCCTCACTGCCTTGATTTTTGCAGATGCAAACAGATTTTTTTGCTCTGTGTTTTGTTGTGCTGTGTATCATGTCGGGTGTTCAAAGTGTTTTCAAGATGGTAAACAGTCATCTTTCTTTTCCCTCCCCTCCCTTACTCCTCCCTTCCTGGAAGGTTTAGTTTCTTCTCTCGTGATAAGAAACGTATGCAGGCATCACAGAAAAACGTCCACTTCCAGGATACTTTTGGAGAATGGTCAAATTCAAATAAAGATGACTCCTACACCGAACAAGGACAAGAAGCCCTGCAGCACCTGTGACTAAAACCTTGAGGTGTTCAGTTTACCACAGTAGATCTCAACAGTCTAGTAAGAAGAAGCTTCTGTAAACAAATCCGGCAGCTCATCACTTTTATTTGCCTTGCACACCTCAGTGGTTGTATTTCAGGTGCACTCTTCAAGAGGGATCCCTCACTGTTTACTTGGTGACTGTTTGCTGAAAACAGAATCCAAGCTTTGTAGCAACAGTCGTTGATACCCTGGGACACCGAAGCTTCTAGATGACTTGTTTTGTGCTGAATAACAAGTCTATGGTCTTGTTCATGCATTAACTACAGTAACACAAGCTTCTTTAAACCAAAAAAAGGACCTGTGCCATTATTAGAAGTTTGTTTGCAGTGTACAATATCTAGTGGCAAAGACTCTTTTACCCTGTTTGTTAACACTATCGGTTGTTTGCTTTTTATTTCTGTTAAGAATTTTTTCAAGAGGGATACGACAGCTGGCCACTCTCCATGGCAGGTTGTAGCACTGCTGTGTCCTGTCAAGTTCAGCTGGCATCTGCACTTTGCAGAGTAACCACTTGGAAATCCACCTGATACAAACTGATAAACTGGAGTAGCTTTGAGAGGGATAGTGAGTGTACATTTCCCTTGCTGCTTATAGTGCCTAAAGCGTGAAGAAATCGATGTATGAGGTGAGCGTGCCTTGCATTTTGCCATGAGTTCTGCAGTATTAATGGAAAACGAATTGCTTACAAGGAGGAGTTCTAACACTTGAATTTTTTCCTTCGTACTAGGGACTTCCCCTAAAGTAGCAGACAGCTGCTATAAAGGAATTAGGTCTCTTTCCCACAGACCAGTTTTTAATTAAGTCACACTCCACTTTTCTGTCTAGATAAGACTGCCTAACTTCAGAGTGAAAGACATCCTCAACTAGCTGACATAAACTATTTTAACTGACAGAGACGACCCCAACTCAGAACGTTTTCTCTGATTAGTCTAAACACTACTTGGGCAGAGCAGATGAATTCTGTATGTGCAGGCTGCTCCACTGGTGTTGGTCGATGTTTGGGTAGCCTGCAGTTACAGGGGCTTAACTTCCCAGCAAAAGCCCAGCACAGCTGAGCTGCCAGGAGGTGGGATTTAGATCTGCTTTGCAATTGAGCACGTGAGACCCTTGGGTCTGACTGAGGTTGTACTTACAAAACCCGTGACACTAAAGCCCCACGCAGCGTCACTGTTGCGTACAGTCCGGTGTCAGCGCACACCCTGCCTCTGCACCACACGCTCCACAAAGGCACCTAACCAGGCGGGAGAGGGCGAGAGCATCCACAGCCCCTTGCAAGAGAGGTGCTGAGGTCATTCTGTGAACTTGGCTGTGTGCTAGGAGAGTCCGCACTGGAGCGCAGTGCTGCTGGTGAGGAGTATCTAGTTACAAGGCCGCAGGCAACTTCTGCACTTGTAGCTTAGCGCAGGGGGCCGTGAGCTGCTGTTGGCACCTTAGCCCCAGCAACTACATCTGCTCTGTAAAGAGCCTCCTCTCAGGAGCGGCACTGGAACAGTGCTCAGGCTGGAGTAAAGCTCCAACTACTCCAGGCAGGAATGTAGGAGGAAGTCTCGAAGGACTCCTGAATGACAGCAAGCCAGAGGGTTTAGTGCAGGCCGGTTGTTTTTAATACAGGGTGATTCAAGACTCTGGATTCTTTAATGTGTATGGGCAGCAAATGGTTCTTAGCCTGTCTTAGTGAAACTGTGCCAGGAAACGGTTCTTTGCAATGGTGGGCTGAATGCTGCTCTGCTCCTGGCTGTAACTGTGCTTCATTTTGAACACGGACCTTCCGCATGTTCTAGGTAAAGTGTTTACTGTGCCTCCCTGGTGTCATTGCAGTTGGGGGCAGGGGGGATATGTGGCCTTATATGAAAGACATCTGCACTTGAAATAGTGATGGTAGCGTCTGATGCTAGTATTAGGCAGATATGCTTTTGCCCGGTTACGTTTTGGTAACATATCTTAAGTTTTATGCTTAAAGAAAGCTGTATCCATGAAACAGCAGCACTTCCCCCCTTGTGTGAAAAGCAATTCTTAAATGGGGGAAGGGGGGGAGTGTCTTAATTTAATGATACTCAAGTTGCTAAGATCTCGATTTCACTTCCATATTAGGAAAAAAAAGTACACTACAGTTATATCAGGTAGTTAAAGTAAATTGTGAATGATGCCTGTCGAGTCTCTCCCCAGCATAGTTTATGGTCGTTCGGCACATTTAAAAGAGATGCAGTGATCAGAAACAATGCAAGAAAGCAGCGAATGCACGGCCTGAATAAGCACATCACTTTTGAAATCAGCTGAGAGCAATGAACTGGGATAATAGAAATACACAGACTGAACCGTTTTTCCCCAGCACCTAAGCTGGTGTATTACAAAAAACATCTCCTGGCCTAGTGCACGTAAAGCTCGTCCCGTACGCCAGAGCCCAGCGCACTATTGTCAGGTCAAATCTGCAGCCAATTTCAAACAATGGCACTAAGCAGTACAACCTTCCCCCACTCATCTCTGTAGCCCATTACCTCAAAAATCTAATTAGTTACTCCTGACCTGCTAGCATTAACCACTTCGCTCCTCATTCTCGTGCTAGAAATGCTGAGTTTATACACTCCAAGTGCTATTGGAAAGGATGGCGTGTAGGGGAGAGTATGTAAAGATTTGAAGATATGTCATGTGTTGTTTCTCAATATTCAAGTAAAATCCGCTTTTAGAAAAGGGGCCAGGATGTTGTCAGGTAAGGGGCGTAACAATCCTGTCTGCAAAGTGCAGGATCACAGAAGTTTTTGGGTTTTTTTTTTTTTTGGTTGGGCAGTAAATCATTTTAACAGTTTAATAAATATTTCTGAAAAACAAGTATTTCTGCAAGACTTGTGTCCTTTTTTTTTTGTGGAAAGTTAATACCATCTCTTCTTGGAGATGCAGCATATGGGTCTGTCTTCCTTCCCTTGAAAAAAGGCTCATGCAACTCTTCGTGGAAATAAAGCCTCAAACTGGGTACGGTTTAGGATAGGGCCATTCAAAGGCTGATTAAAAAAATACAGTTTAGAATACATTAGCAAATATTTAGGAATTGCTTATGATGACAAAGAACACGACAGAGCCTTTTCTAGAAAGCTCTGTAAGCTCCTCAATGGAAGATGTATGCCTGTATGCACCTCCTGGCTCTGAAAAAGGAGGTCCTTTGCCCTCTGTTCTCCCCAATTCAGCTACAGCCAGCAGCAAGCCCAGTTTCCAGAACAAGATTTAAACCCTGTGCAGGCAGGACTTGCAGGGAGGAGGAGAGGACAGAGTGGGTGCAGCTGCAACCACATTTAACCATGACAATGTCCTTCAGTGATTGTCCATGGATTGATCAGCAACACTAGGCCTTTTCTGACCTGCTTACTGCTCTGCAGTGCGCGTTCCTCTAATAAAAGGGAATGACATCCTCCCACAACGGAAAAAAAAGATTTCTTATTACATGCTTCTCTCCCACCTCACAGAACGAGTTAAGGACATAGTATTACTAAAGATCTCACCTGTCCCAGTGTCTTCAAAAAAATAAAGTCACTTCCCATTGGCTTCCGGTTTGGGCCACATTTTTCAGAACCTTAGTCTGTTGCTATTTCATTACTATTTCTTCAACAAGTGACTATTTCATAAAGGGCATCTGTCTCACTAAATGTGTGTGGACATCTGGCACAGAAATAATTAAATATGAGCTCTCTCATGAACCGTAATCCAGGCAGCCAGATCAGTATCAAACAAGGGGTGTACTCGATTTCAGTGGGATGCCCATACATGTGGTGCATTTCTTACAGCATTCACCAGTTGAAAAATATTAATACAAAAGTTTATTTTCTCTGAAGAACAATTCAACACGTATTTTAACTGCATTAGCAATCGAACTAGAGAGAGCTTCTAGCAGGTGAGAGTCGCAGGCACAAGCCAGTAACAGCGCAGCTCCTTGTTCAGGGAATGCTGCTCACAGCCCCAGGCTGAGGGCAACATCTGCAACTGAAACGTTGTGGATGTAAGAGTAGACACCATACCCCAAACAACAAGGGACTGTCACCTACCGATGCTTATCATCCTCTCTTTGTTTCTTGGTATCTCTTTCTCTGCTCCGGTCTCTATCCCTGTCCTTCCTGTCTCGGTCCTTCCTCTCCCTCCCTCTGCTCCTCTCCTCCTTGGCGTCTCTCTCACTTTCACCCCAAGCCCACGACCGCTCCCTTTCTGGCCATCGCTTGTCTCTGCTCCTTTCATGGTCTCGGTCCCTTGTTCTCCAGTCCCTTGTTCCTTCACGAGACCAGTTTCTTTTCTCTGCTGATCCTTCTCCATAGAAATCATTTTTCATGTTTGGCAAATTAATGGGCTTTCGGAAAGGTCTGTCCCGTCCTCCAAACCGTAGCTGCCCAGATTCTTTTTTGCCTCCAAAACCACCTCCAAGCCGCCGAGGAATCCATCCTTTGAGAGTTCTTTCCAGTTCAAAGTCTACAAAGATCTCGTGTTGATCAATAACCAGCCTGTTGGCATCTCTGTGGGCCTTCAAGAGAGCACGCTCCTCTTTGTACTCAATAAATGCGTAACCCTTGGAAAATCCTGTGACCAGGTCTCGAACCAGACGGATCTTTCTGATATCTCCATACCGGGAAAAGACCTCCTTTAACTTCTCTTCTGTTGTCTGAAGATTGAGCCTTGCTACGAACAGGGTGAGGTGAGGATCTCCTGTAACTCCCTTGTTGGGTACATAGCGTGCTAACATAGCCCTCCATATGGCACGGTCGTGGGGCTCTTCATCTGTGCCATCAATGCTCCCGGCTTTGAGGGGGTCATACTCCTTTGCTATGGGGGCCCAGTCATTCATTGTCTAGTGGGAAAAAACCATGCATCACACAGATACCCAGGTATTTTGGGAAGAAGCACTTTCAGCACTGCTGTACAGTATTTTTCATCCAAAAATCCCCAAAAGTTTGACAAACTTAAATAAACCGGCAATATCGCTGCTGTTTGAGTTCACCTCCCCGGGCAGAGCCATGTCGGGGAGCCTGGATCCGCCCCGGGCTGAGGGCGGCCCGGCGGCCCCTTCCCTCTCTCCCGCCTGAGGGGCCCCCG